CGCTAGTTGAGGCAAAATTTTTTCGTTAAAATGTATCGCTAGTCAGATTTATCGTTAATCGATGCCATCGCTGGTCGCGGGTCCACTGTATAATCAAAGTTTCTGCTTTACCTTCATTTAGTTTCATTATTCTGTTTATCATCCAAGCCTGAATCTCCAACAAAAGAGAACTAAAGCGGAGTTTTGCATCTTCTGTATTTAAAACCCTGCTGGTCTTGTATATTGTTGGTATGGAAATGATTATCAGCCCCATCAGCATCCAACAATAAGGCTAAACCACTAACATGAACAGTGAACAATATTGATCCAAGAACATAACTCTGAGGAATGCCACAGGGCAGAGGAAACGGATCAGGCAATACCGAACAGGAAGATGTGATTTCAGAAGCTATAGTGCAATAACCCTAAGGTTACAGCCAAAACGATTACTTGTAAGTAATCCATGATAAGTGGTATCAGATGTAGCAGAGAGGTTCAAAAAAATTATTAGCAGAGCAGTTCTGAACTTTACACAAAGCTGTCTCAGTTGCATGAAATGTTCTGTACTCACACCAAACACACAGTGAAACATTACACATTGCTCAAAAAAAAGGAAATGGTTGATCAAAAATAGCACATTCAGTCAATTTAGAATTGAACTTAAGATTAGAAATAAGATGGTAGGTTGACACGTTTTCCTTGTCAAGGGAAGGCTTTTTGAGGAGAGGGCAAACCAAAGCCCCTCTCCATTGACTCTGGAAAACATCCATTTTGTAAATGATTGACCAATACTGTTATGAAAGGAACGGCACTTTCATGTGTGGGCAAGATCTTTGAAACTTTTATAGGATCTAATGCACAAAACCTCTTATATCTTGCACCTTGTCAGGACAACAAATATATGCTGTTCTTGATGATGGCAGCTCAAATTTCAGGAGACAGCACAGCCATCCTGCTACTATCCTTAACCTTTGAAAAATAAATGCTATGGGCACATCCTCATTTAGATAGTCCCTTGATTTCTGAATTTTTTGTAAGAATTTCAGAAGCACTTTCATCACCTGAACAAGAAGGCAAAACACCAACTACAGTAATCATAGGCAATGTCTAGATTGGTTCAGGGACCAGAAAACCAGCATCATTGGGAAAACAGGAAGTCACAGAAACCCCAGCTTCCCATATTTTCTTCAGCAGTTGGGAAGCTAAGCACCAAATCATGATTTTTAGTCTCTTTTCTTTATTAGGCCCAAACTTAATGAATCCTGAATTAAATTGTTTATGTAGCTAATAGCAGCAGCATTGTCCACTGGGACACTGGGTTTTGGCTTGGCAATCAATACCTGCTAATCTTAAACCAGTGTTCTCTCCACAATTGTTAATCTTGATGTCAGGTTTATTTGAAGCATTCATCTCTTCCCATTTTCCTTCTTCACTACCCTTCCTAACAATGTCAGCTAAGGACCGAGAAGCAACCGGGCCCCACAGCTTTCTGCTAAGGTTAGATAGTTTATCTTCCACCTGTTGTAGTTTTATGGCAAAATCATTTAAAATATTACCAGTAGTATCACTCAGTTCTTCAACCACTCCCACTATTCACCATAGCCTCCTGAAAATCTGATCTCTCTTCCCTTGTGAAGAACAACACATGCTTCAAACACGCATCAATTGCACAACACCTAAAAACCTGAGCTATGATTCCAGTGCAAAAAAAAATTATAATCATCTTACCAAATTTGTACAGGCAATGTGAAACCATTCAATACAAAAAAAAAAAAAAAAACATTTAAGTGCCATAGCATCCTATCCAACTCAAACCTCACATACGGGACACCTGTCCTTAACTTTTACAGCCATAGCTAAAAATTCTTTCCCCTCAGCAAAAAACTCAAATAGGTAATTGAACTGCCTTGGGAAACCCCAGACAGCACTGACCCCATTTGTGCCACTCAGTGAAAGGCATTTGAGAGGGTACCACAGGCAGGCAGGGTGCAACATGATTACTTGCGCACACGCTCACACACGCACGCACACACACACGCACACACACGCACACGCGCATGCACACACGCGCACACACACGCACGCGCACGCACACACACACACACACACACACACACACACACACACACACACACACACACACACACACACACACACACACACACACACACACACACACACATCACATCACATCAGCAATGGAAATTTTCCCTATTATAAATATGCAAATTAGTTAAGCTTGGTGATGATACTACCATTGAGCAAAGCAGTGGTAGTGTTGTAACCACCTTCAGCCCATTCTCATCTGCTTGACTCACCAGTATTAAAGGTTCAGAAAGCCAGTCTGAAGGATCCTCCAAGCCAAGCCAAGGATGTTGAAGAAGCTATTTGAATGACCACTAAAATAAAAGAGGAGGAAATTGTCCTATCCTTGATGGTGTTTGGGTTGATGACTGCTTTCCTGAGGGGCTCATGATATTTGTCATTGCCCTTTTCACTATTTTCTCTTCAGTAGGTACCAAGTTTTGAAAAGCAGGGAAAAGGGGACCAGCTTTTTGCATGAGTACCAGAGGTAATTAACAGATATCTTTATTGTTGCTCACATTCTCAAGTCAGAATTTTTTCATGAACACAGTGCCTGGAATTAAGCCATGAGGTAAAGTTTTGCAACTAAATTGCACTTGGTTTGCAATTCAGCTTCTTTCCAAGCTAACACCTTAAACTGAGCTCTAAACAACCACACTTTGAATGAGTAGATTCTGTATTGTACCTTTTGCCATTCAGTAAATGCTGCACAATCTTCCAGGAGTATGGAGCATAATTCCATGTTATGGGATGTCACCCAGAAAAATTGTTATGATCTCCAGTAGTTCCAAATGATTGTCCTGATGTTTAAAGTGCTCCAGTCATTCCCTTGCAAACTTGATGATTTCATCAAACCATGGAGCTGTTGGTTCCTCATGTACAGCAATCACAATAGAATATTTATCGATGAAGGGCCATTCCCTTGAATAGCTTAATTAATTTCTAACCCACTTGAAGGTCCAATGGAAGATGAAAATGCCACCTTCAGGATAATTTCCAGCACATGTTGATAACAGGCCATTATCCTCTCCTTCACATTTTTCTTCTAGAGAACTAGGTCTACTGCATCCACCATAGCTTTCCAAGTCCCAGATTAGGTAAAACTTTGCATTCAGGAGCTGAGGGTTTTTCTCCTGATGCTTCATTCACTGATGGAGCAATGAATAGTGTCAGTGGCAGCAAGGATGAGTTTTCTGTCATAAACTTTTGCTCCATCAAGAGTAGCTGAGAGTTGTTGACTTATTACCAGCTGGTGGATTTGTCTTGAGAGGATATGGACTTGTGGACATTGATGAGCCTTCTCAATCTCCCTCTACATCATCATCATTGCTATTTTCATTGCTGCTTGAGGACAAAGAGGCAGTATGACAGTCTCTTCCTCTGGTCTTCCCCCAGTATTCACTTGATGGACTGCTGTTTAAATCTTTCAGTCTTGGCTTCCTTCATGACCTTCACATCAATGGATCCCATTTATCCTGCTTGTCCTGTTTTTCTCTGGGAAAGCTGAAACTGTTGGCTTTCCTTGACCTTCATGAGATAAGCAATATCAGAGAGCCAGTAAAAAGGAATTACAGCACTAAAGACTTCCTTCTCTTCCCTACACTTGGATCTTTTTGCCTTGATGTTCTGGTTTCTTCTTGAGCTTATCCCACACACTTTTTTTTTTTCCTAGCCATGTAGGAATTCTTACCTTGTCCAAAAAGGACATCACTCTCATAACCATCAGGTTCATGGCCTGGAGTTCTTTTTCTTGACAAGGTTATAGTGGAAGTACCCCATAACTTTGTATTTACTTGGGAATTTGGCCCCCACCAATTTTGCTGACCTTAGCCCCACTAACCAAGAGTCAATGGAACTCTTGGGCAGTGTACAAATTTGCTTTCTTCAGAATTACCAGTGGAGATTGAACATCAGGTAGCAACCTCTAAAAACTGATTAATAAATTCAAGTTAAATTCCACTCAAATTACTCTCTCTCAGGAAAGCATCCAGCAAGGTACTGTACATACTATCATCCTCTCACATAAATCTGAAATGGAGCCTTTGAATGCTTTGTACTCAGGCAGAATTGCCAGTTTTTTTATCTCATGAACACAAAATATGACTGGTACATCTTAAAAACTTCTTACATTCAGCATACCGTGTTCTGAACATTTCTTATTCCTGTAGTATTTTCTTACAAATTTTGGAGGCTTTGGCTGAATCTAGGCAGCAGTGGCAATGATCCTTGGAACCATTAACAGATAAATAAATAGATGGACTTGAGCCTTAGTGATGGGAATTATGAAATCTGCAACTTGAAAAATGTTTAGGTGTGCTGAAGTTTGGTGGGTCATTGTATCATTTATGCAGCTGTGGAAAGCTGATAGTGAATGTCTTCTCTTCTTTTATCTGATCATAAATGAGATCCTCATGTTTTGTTAATTCCTCTATAAATAATAATTCAACCTGAAAAATAATCAGTTATGGAGGCAGATTAATTTTATTTTTTAAATATGTACTGTAATCGAATCTCGTTAATTTATATACAGTTTCAAAGTACTGTAGTATATGAGGTTATAATATAATTTGTGAAGTGATAGTGCAATACAGTACTGTATAGAAAAATGATGGTGCTTGATCATCTTACCTAATGGAGATAGTATAGGTTTATCAGCAAAATTTCCTGACATTTTACTGTTTGCAATATAAAGTAATCTTGAATTTATTTTTTACTCTTATCTGAACATTGATTTTAGAAAGGAAATATTTTTTATTTTAGTTTTTTTCAAAATTCTATATCTTCATAAATCTGACATACTTATCAGTAAATCAGACACACAACTTTTATAGGATCATTGTTAATAACTTACTGTACTTGGCAAATGTCTAATAATAGATAATGTCTCACAGTATGACTGGTTTTTCCCATTTTATCTAAATATCAAAAATTTTCAGGATAGTAACAGCAGAGATTCCAACTGGGATGCAGACAAATCATCACCGTCCATAATAAAAATATCTGGAAGTCAAACAGACACCGTCACAGGGGAGACCAAAACCTCAGATCACTCGGAAGACGACTCAGATGATGAACATGGCCCCATGGTTAGTCAATCTGAAATTCTGTGTGGAAAATTTGTACAGAGTATTGTATATTTATATGTAGAATATCTTGAAAGTGCAAGATGGATTCTGCAATTTTGCATTAAAATTTAGAAATGGAAAATGAACAGTTGAAGTTGAGCCATTGTACACTGAAGTACAGTATTATGTTAGCCATAATGAATGAGTAAACAAAGTGCTTCAGTAATGCTTTAAGGAGTAGTATACTTGCAAATTTGTATGAATGTGAAGCTTTAATTAATCTGTGATGTAATAAGAGAATATAAATAATAAAAATATAATAGACGACCGTAAGTCTTGCGATCATAACTCACATTTTTAATAGTATGTGATTTAAATTATTTTTCATGTCCAATACTAGCGTGCCATTGCCATTAAAGTATGCTAGGTCAGAATTAGTGGAGCTCATTACCTTATGGAGCATCCCTCCAGCCCTTAGGCAGGGGCCATTGTTTAGTGTGGTAGAAGCCTAGCATCACTGCCTGGTGTAAACAAACTAGTTGTCATTCTCTGGACACCATATCATAGTTGCTGCTTGATTATCCTCTAGTTTCATTTATATCATCACCTTGCTGTGTGTCTGGATGTTCATGATATCACCCAGAAGGAATGAAATTGATGCTGGAAGTGCCAAGTAAATAATTAGGGATGAAATGTAAAATTTCTTAAGAAAATTGTAATCAGAGCAGAAGTGGAAGATGGTGGTGGTTGTTATAGCTGGTAGATTAATTTTACAGCTAGTGTAACACATTCTTGTGCCTTCAACAGTTATTTACTTAGCTGCATACAGTGGAGCCTCAAGTTTTGTAAGCCTTGGGCTTCGTAAATTTCGCCTTTCGACAATTTTTTTCGTCAAAATATAGCCTCGCGGTTCATAATTTGCCTTGCCATTCGTCGGTTGTCTGGAACGCGTATGAGCGGCCTCCCATTGTCTGCATCTTGCCACGATGAATGGGAAGCCTCATACAACCATCGCTTCCATCATGATGAAGAAAAAGGAAATCAAGGAAGCTGTTGTTGCGAAAGGGGTAGATACGCTCACAAAAAAGAGATCGCAAATACTCGAAGATGTTGAGAATTTGTTGTTGGTGTGGATCAACCAAAAACAGTTAGCAGGAGATAGTGTTATGCAGTCGATAATTTGTGAGAAGGCAAGGCAGTTGCATGCCAATCTCATAAAGAAAATTCTTGGAATGAGTGCTGATGTTAGTGAATTTAAGCCCAGCAAAAGCTGGTTTGAGAGATTTAAGAAGAGTAGTGGCATACACAGTGTGGTAAGGCATAGTGAGGCTGCAAGTTCTGACAAATGTGCAGCTGAAAAATTCACCTCGCTTTGGCGTAAAAAAAATTAGCTCGGTAACACCAAAAAACTCGGTTAAGAGCTTTCGTCCAGAACGTTTCGGCATGGCAGCCTGAGCAGGCCCCGCCACTCACTCCATGTACCAGCCAGTGTGCCATTGTTTACAAAGCCAGTGAGGACGATTCCGCGCGTACATGCAATATATTTTGTATTATTCCATTGTTTTTGGTGCTTGTAACTGCTAAATAAGCCACCATGGGTCCCAAGGAAGCTTCTAGTGCCAGCCCTATAGTAAAGAATGTGAGAAACGCATATAATTTAAGAAAAAGTTTGTAGAAAAATATGAAAGTGGTGGTGGTAGAGGGTGGTAGTGGTTGTGAAGGTGGTAGAGGGTTGTAGTAGTGGTGGTAGAGGGTGGTAGTGGTTGTGATGGTGGTAGAGGGTGGTAGTGATTGTGATGGTGGTAGAGGGTGGTAGTGATTGTGATAGTGGTAGAGGGTGATAGTGATGGTGGTAGTGGCTGTGATGGTGGTAGAGGGTTGTAGTAGTGGTGGTAGAGGGTTGTAGCAGTGGTGGTAGAGGGTGGTAGTGGTTGTGATGGTGGTAGCGATTGTGATGGTGGTAGAGGGTGGTAGTGGTTGTGATGGTAGAGGGTTGGAGTGGTGGTGGTTGAGGGTGGTGGAGATGGTGATGGTGGTAGAGGGTGGTACCAATTGTGATGGTGGTAGAGGGTAGTAGCGATGGTTTGTAGAGGGTGGTAGCGATGGTGGTAGAGGGTGGCGGTGGTTGTGATGGTGATAGAGGGTGGCAGTGGTTATGATGGTGGTAGAGGGTTGTAGTGGTGGTGGTAGAGGGTGGTGGAGATGGTGATGGTGGTAGAGGGTGGTAACAATTGTGATGGTGGTAGAGGGTAATAGCGATGGTGGTAGAGGGTGGTAGCGATGGTGATAGAGGGTGGTAGTGGTTGTGATGGTGCTATGGTGAGGCTGCCAGTTCTGACAAAAAAGTGCCTGAAAAATATGTGCAGGACTTTGAGGGGTACATAGAGGCTGAAAAATTAAAACCCCAACAAGTGTTCAGTTGTGATGAGACAGGCCTGTTTAGGAAGAAAATGCCAAACAGGACCTACATTACTCAGGAGGAAAAGGCACTCCCAGGACACAAACCAGAAAAGGACTTGTTACCTGAAGTCTTTATGGAAGGGGATTTCCCTTCCAAACAATAGAACACCTTCATCCTCTGTCCTCCTCCTGTCTCATCACTCATCAACAAGTCCACAATAAAGGTAAGTGTGATGTTATTATTGTTTTATTCTTCATGCATTATTGTTTTCTGTGTAGAGAAATGTATATTTCATGTAAAAAAATTATTTTGTTTAATACTTTTGGGTGTCTGTAACAGATTAATTGGATTTCCATTATTTCTTATAGGGAAAATTAATACTTTTAAAGACTAATTCAGTTAAAGCCTAGCTCTCTGGAACGAATTAAAGGCGTTAGCCGAGGGTCCAATGTATGTATATTTATATTAATGGTAGTAGGTTGGTAGACAGCAACCCATCCAGCCAAGTGAATGTAAAACGAGAGCCTGTAATTGTTTTACATGGTGGTAGGATTGCTGGTGTCTTTTGTTTGTCTCATAAATATGCAAGATTACAGGTATGGCTTGCTACTTCTACTTACACTTAGGTCACACTACCCATATATATACACGTTTTATTTATACACACTCGTCTGAGTTTTTTTTTATTTTTATCTTAATAGTTCTCGTTCTTATTACTTTTCCCTTTTATATCCATGGGGAAGTGGAATAAGAATCTTTCCTTCGTAAGCCATGCATGTTGTAAAAGTCAACTAAAATGCCGGGAACAATGGGCTAGTAACTCCTTTTCCTGTACAGATTACTAAAAATTAGAAGGAGAAAATTGTCAGAGTGGGATGTCTGAATGTGCGTGGATGTTGTGCAGATGATAAGAAAGAGGTGATTGTGGGTGTTATGAATGAGAAGAAGCTGGATGTACTGGCTTTAAGTGAAACAAAGTTGAAGGGGGTGGGAGAGTTTCAGTCGAGAGAATTAAATGGGGTTAAGGCAGGGGTTTCAGATAGTTAGAACTAAAGAAGGAGTAGCAATAATGTTGAAGGATAACCTATGGCAGGAAAAGAGGGAGTATAAATGTATTAATTCAAGGATTATGTGGAGTAAAATAAAGGTTGGATGTGAAAAGTGGGTTATAGTAAGCGTATATGCACCTGGAGAAAGAAGCGTAGAGGAGAGAGAGAGGTTTTGGGAAATGTTGAGTGTGTGGGGAGTTTTGAGCCAAATGTGAGAGTACTTGTGGTTGGGGATTTCAATGCTAAAGTGGGTAAAAATGTTGTGGAGGGAGCAGTAGGTAAATTTGGGGTGCCAGGAGTAAATGAAAATGGGGCGCCTTTAACCCTTTCAGGGTTTCCGACGTACTAGTACGGCTTACGCACCGGAGTTATTGACGTACTAGTACACATAAATTCTAGCGCCTTCAGATCAAGCAGGAAAAGGCTGGTAGGCCTAGATGTGAGAGAATGGGTCTGCATGATCAGTGTGCTGTAGGAAAATATTTCGGGACCCAATGGTGCATTGTGGGAACACCATTTTAGTACACCTTGTTCACCATGTCTCGCGGTAAGAAACTCCTCACTCCTCGGCGAACTGGGACACTTTTGTTCCCGAGTGACAAGTCTAACACAGATGGAAGTGCCAGTGAAGATGAGTTTCAAGGTTTTGATGAGGTTGTGACAAACTAATGACCATAATACCAGTAATAATGAGGAAAATCCAGATGACCCTCAACCTTCCACCTCTGGTGCTGGGCTGTCTTGTTCACGTTCATTTGTACCAGAACAATAGAGGAAACTCTCATTTTCCCACATCCAGGATTCAGATGTGAGCAATGGTGATGATAGTGGTAGTGAATATGAACTACAAGCTCTTGAAAACAGTTCCAGTAGCGATAGTGAGGTAGAATATTCTTCAGTGAAGAGTCAGTATATACGATGGTATATGCGCTCCGGTAGTGTGCCATATGCTATTCCAGGGGGAAGGAGTACATCTCGTGGCTGTACAACAGGAGCAGATAGTGAAAATGAAGATGATAGTGTTGCAATTGGGATGGAAAATGTGCATGCATCTGGTAGTAGTAGTGGTGGTGCCAGCCGTGAGGCACCAGCAGTGGGCCATGCTGCCACCCACGCCGCTGCCTCAGCTGAACTACAACAAAGGCCACCATCCCCCACCCACCCACCACACCAGCCTCCACAACCACAACCACCTGTCAAGATCCAGTACCCACCAGCAGACCACACCTGGGATTGGCAGGAAGCTGACAATTTTGTTCTCAATCTGTCGTGGGGGTTCGAAAGGATATATGATGGTTGAAGATAAACACACTTGTTGAATGGTAACACTATATATTGTCAGACTGTGGTAAAGGAGGCCCAGCCTGCCTGTAGCTGCCTGGTAGGTCTAAGCGTGGACTGAGGAAATTACAGAGGTACTCGCGCACACGTGACGTCACACAGTCACTAGGCCTAGTAAGGGATCACATGTATAAAACATATGGATGGTACTATGATACTCAGATAAGCTATACAACACATGTAAGGGGATCAGCAACTATGCTGACAAATCCCCCATCACCTTGATGAAA